GCCTCCCTCCTGTTCCTGTGCTTCCTCTCCGTGTGTGCCGTTGCCTTTCAGAGGACGAGGTTAATGACCGTCCTCTGAGCAGCCATTCCTCTGGCCTCCAGGGCCTCGGTGGGGTGTCAGGGGTTCTGCCCGGGCCAGCCAGCTTCCATGACTCCTCGGGGCCCCTGCTGACCACAGGGCTTTCCTAGGGCAGACAGCCCCAGTGCTGGTGGCAAACCCCATTTGGCAAGGGTGGCAGGGCCTGGGACCCACCCCCAGGCAATTAAATGAGCACCGATGTCCAAAGGAGCCCAGCCCCCCAGCCAGTCACGGAGGCAGACAAGCCAGCGAGAGCCCTCCGGAAGGAGCGTGGCCGGGGCAGCAAGTCCCAATGTTTTCGGAAGGACAGCAGCTCCCTAATGGATCCTAACGACCATCCCCTGATGAGTGGTATTTGAAACGTGTAGCATTTCTGCTTTTGTATTAAGTATCATAAAGTGCTGTTTGTTTGCTTTAAAAGAAGAAGAAAACCCCATCAAAATCCCAGCTTCCCCAAGGAGCTCTGATTTGTTTCATCTTAAAGAAAGCTGCCACGCTGTGTGTCCAGCGCATCATTAGTGAACAGCCAGTTACTTCTAGAACACTCCATCGTGATGGTTCTGAAATCTCACCAGAGAGCCAGAGGAGCCCGGCAAGTGTCAAAAGACTTCTGTTTCTCATGAAAAAAAGATTCTGGTCTCTTCAGATCAAAATGTAAACCTTTTAATACAGAAATTGAAGCGCCCCTCCTACCTGCCCCCCTTCAGAGATGTGTAAGTGAAATTCCATTTTCGGTAATAATTTGCTTCTGGAGCTCAGCGCAAGACAGTGTAGTTTCAGTACTGATTTTGAACTCCTGCACATTCATGTGCGAAGGCAACAGGTTGGGCCGGCCCCTGGGAATGATGCCTCGGGTGGTGGTGGGGGGGAGATGCAGACAGCGAGGGGTAAGACCCTGAACCCGCCTGGGGGCTCTCACACAGACCAAAGGGAAAACAAACACCCTCGCCGGTGGGCAAAATGAATCTGTGACCTGCACTGTGTATTCATATGAGAGTCGTGTTTTTAAAAGAATCGGACGGGGGGAGGAGCGCTGTACCTCGGGGACGCAGATGCCTTGAGAGCACAGAGTTAGCAGCTTGTGGTGGGAGGGCGGGGGCAGGGGTGTTCCTGGAGGCTTCTCAAAACCCCAGACGCTCTGCCCCAGAGGAGCCCATGGGCCGCAAGGACCGGAATGGGGAGGGGGCACACTCTCTAGAGCAGGAAGAGCCTTTGCAGTGTTTGCAACTAAGTGATGCCTCCAGGTAATGACAGAAGGGCTTTGCAGGCAGACGTGGCAGGCAGAGCCACACAGGGCCACATGGAGCCACGCGGCCCCCGCCTGGGCTTGCCACTCTTTTGACACCTATTCAAATCCGGGTTAAGAAGAAGACAGAGTGCTCCATGGGGAGGCAGGGAAGTGTGACCTTGCGGTCCCCGTCCATTCATCCTAACCCTACAGCTGGAGGCTACCCTCGGCAAACCGGGCCCTGCACTCGACCTACGGTGACCTTCTCAGAAGGCGTGTTAGGGCTTGTGGCTGTGAGCGTGGCGGCAGGGCCCGGAAGCCCCGTCCTCGGAGGGTCTCCATTGCGAGGGGTGGGAGGGGGACTTCTTTCCCAGGAAGACGAAGCAGGCGTCGGCCCCTCACGTTTCCAGGCTTGGAGCTACTACAGCTGTGGGCCAGTGCCCCCCAGGGACCACTCCAGCCACTGCCTCTCGCTGTGTCATCCTCTCCCACCTTTGCAAAGGCCAAGGATGCCTTTCGAGCATCTGTCCCCTCTGGCAGCATCAGAAGGAGGCCTGGCCAGTGCCTCACCCGTCTTCGGAGTCACATGGGTGGAACCCAGACCCTGCTGAGGCCATGTGCTGAGCCCCAACAACCACAGCAGCTGCGTGGCCAAGGGTACGCTCCCAGCCCCCAGCGCCCATTCAGGCCGCTGATGTCCATGGGGTCAGGGCAGCCAGCAGGCCGCAGATGGCTGCCTCCAGGCCAGTGAGGCCGCCAGAAAGATGGAATCCCAACACGCAGGCTTCGAGGCCAAGAGCCACCGCCAGGCCCTGCCGTTCCTTAGCCTGGAGCGTTTCTCTGCACCAGGAGCTCAAACAAAGCAGCCACGGCTGGAGGGGTGGGGCTGGGGACACAGGGAGAGAGGAACAGGATGGAGTAGCTTCGCTGAAGCCTGGGGCCTGGGGATTCGACCAATCAATGGCACTTGCTGTGCACATCCCCCTACCCTGCGCACAGACACGTGAGGACACGAACACTCCACGACAGCACTCGCCTCCGTGGCTGGTGGTGAGCAGGTGCCCACGGCTCGCTCCTGCCTCGGTCACTTGGTGCCCTGAGTGCCGGCCACCCTGCTCCCCAGCGCCTCTGAGGCATCTCCATAAGGGACCAAACGGGAAATAAAAGGTCTTGAACTGACTGCCCTAGAACTGAAGGCATCTCTCTTTCCTTTTTTTCCCCTACTCATCTTACAAGAAATGGTACAGATGCAGTGGGTTGCTGTCCTGAAGATCCCTTTCATGGAGAAGAGCACACCTGTCACCGGGACTCAGAAACCACAATACCCTCCCATGAGGCCAGATCGAGGGGGTCCCTGACACTCAGTATAATTCGACTGAATTGTTAGCATTTTGACTTCAAGGCGTGAATAAATCTTGTTAATGCCTAGAATGGTGCTGAGCAGACAGTGTGGTCCCAACCCTCCCTGCCACCCCCACCCCCTCCAGCTCCCTGCCCCGCCACTCTGTGTGGTCCCCTCTACCTGGAGCATGGAAGGTGTCTGGGAGCCACACAGAGCCGCTGCAGACCCTCCAAGTCTGGCTTGCAGCTGTGACTTCCTGCCCTGTAGTTCATCTGTCAGCTCCCCTCCCTTCATCCCACAGATACCTGGGCAGGGGCTCCCCCGGGCTGGACGCTGGCCCTTGGGCAGGGCTCCTCACTGGATGTGGGTGTGCGCCCCCGACATCACACCGGGGGGACTCACCTCTGTTTGCCTAGCAGTGTTGCACGAACCCAGGCCATGGTCAGTGCTGGCCAGTCTTCTCCTTTGGGTCCTCTTCCACATCACGGGCACAGTGGAGGAGGCTGGTGGTGGCCCTGGGGGCACCTAGTGCTGCTGTTTCTGTAGCTCCTCCAACCCAGGCTAGCCCGGACCCTCCCTTCTCCAAGAAGGGCATGCTGTGCACCCTCGATCCCTCCTCGATGTACGTCTCTTCTCTCCCTCTTTCATCTGTGTCTCCGCGGGCTCCGGCGGAGGTCACAGTGCTGAGGACCTGTGGAGACTGGCCCCCGCTGGTGCAAGGGCCCTAGAGGCTGTCCACTACCCCCAGCTGTGCTGACTCCATCGTCTTTTCCTTATTCCACTGCCCATTCAACCACCTCGCTGCTTTGCTGACTCCCGGGCCGTGCATCAACTCTGACCTCCAGACCTTTCTCCACCACACGTTTTTGGCCAGTCACCCCCCCTTTTATTTTAACATTTTTTAAATGGAGGTGAAATTCACATAACATAAAGTTAACCCTTTCAAAGCGTACAGTTCACACGTTAGTGCATTCATGATGTTGCGCAGCCACCACCTCTACCTTGTTCTGGAACATTCTCATCATGACGAAAGGACATCCTCTCCCCGTGAAGCAGTCGCTGTTCCCTCCTTGCAGGTCCTGGCACCTACTGATCTGCTTCCTGACTCCGGATTTACACTATGTGGCCTTTGGGCTCTGGCTTCTTTCATTTCACATCATGTTTTCAGGGTTAACCCACATTGCAAGTTGTAGGCTCCTTTTTACAGCTGCACAGTCCACAGTGTGGACGCACCACAGCTATTTATCCACGTGTCCGCCGATGGGCTTCTGTGTGTGGCCTTCCCTGTGGCCACTGTGAGCAGAGCTGCTGTGACCACATGCACTCGGGTACCTGCTAGAGGACCAGCATCCAGGTGCCCCCTGGGAGCAGACCCACCGGCCCATGGTCATCCCATGTTTAACTTCTTGAGGAATTGCCAGACTGTTCCCATGTGTCCAACGTGGAGTATTTAGAGCCTCAAGTTTGCATTTAGCTTCCTGGAGGAAGCAGACCGCGCAGCACTGTGTTCGCCCAGTCTCCTCCACGTCCCCCTGGACCTCCCTCCAGTTTTTTCAAGATTTCGGGTTCTTGTGCTGTCCTCCAGCCCCCTGGCCATTTGCAAGCTTAACAAGCACATTTCTGCTCATTTGTGTCATTCGACATATTTATGAAGAGTTAAAAGCACAGGGCCCTGGGCTGACCCACCTACGCACGGCCTATTTGGCCTGAAAGCCCCCTGCACTCCTAGCCTTCCCTCTACATGTGTCCCTTGGATCCCCCAGAGCCACACAGCCTGCACGTGGTGAATGTGCCTGACACAGGGATACAGAATTAGGGCTTTCCTGGCTGTCTGCCTCTGTGGCTCCCTTGACTTGGCCTGCTGGTCTAGGTCCCAGGCAGCGGCCAGAACTGGTTCTTTGAAGAGTGTGTGTTTGGGACACAAGTGGGTGGAGACTAAGTTCCGTGGTCAGTGTGTGGTGGAAATGGCTCTGGACCCTAAGTGAGGATACCCGGCCACTTGGGGTCACAGGGGATCCTAGCCAAGTCTTCTCTATGGGCCTCTCTCTGCACCCTTACCCATCAGGCAGGAGGGAGACAGGATGGCGTGAGGATCATTAAGTTTGTCCCCAGAGACGTCACTCTCAGGCCCTGCCCTCTGGGTGCTGACCTTGGCCGGACCTTGGTCCTGACAGGAGCCATTATCTCCAAGGCTTAGACTGAGGGTACGTGCAAGATTCAACTTACCTGTATATGTGCAGGATCCGGGGTGGGTCTGCCCCACCAGACACGCACCACGTAGTTGCACACGGATAGATCGCAGCATCTGCCATGTGGCTCATCCGTCCTATCTTACGATCTTCTTTCCCACAGGTTGGAGCCATCGGTGACGAGGAGGAATGGGTGAGCCTCTACGAGGAGGAGAATGAGCCTGATGCCCAGACTCTGGAGATCCCAAACCTCACGCCCTACACTCACTACAGGTGAGAGCAGTGGGTGGTAGATGGAAGGCAACAGGAGGAAGGCCAGCAATGCTAACAGGTGGCTTCAGCCTGCAGAGCAAACCGCAGCTCGGTACACATAACTGAGATATTTCTAAGCAGCAGTAACAGTACATTGAACCTTAGGAGCAAGATGCAGGCCTCGGGATGATTCTAAGAGAGGGTATATCCCTGAGGAGAAACCAGCAGCTCTCCTTCCTTCAACGCCAGCTGCAATGGCTCACTCTTATGTCAGGCTTAATCTGGGGAGCCACAGGCAGCCAAGATGGTGGGCTTCTACTTACAAAGCTCCGGGACCCATGGGACTGTCAGCATGCTGGGTGTAAACAAAGCAGCTTCCTGGGAACATCCCCTGCTTCCCCCTCCAGAGCCCAGGAGATGCAGGTCTCACTAATCAAGCACTTAACATGCCATTTAACCTTTTGCTTCTTGATCCTGAAACCCATCCAGGCAGTAAATCCGTGGCCTTAACAAAGGGTAGCGTGATCACAAGTCGTTAGAGATGTTATAACTTCCCATAAGATCATTGACTGAGATGAAATTTCCAGTTATCACCAGATGTTGAGTTTGATAATGTCACTGTTATGCCAGGACGGATACATTTCATAAGATCAGGGAGTAAAAGACTAAGAATGACTAATTCAGAGAGTGAAAGGTGAAATTACATCTTTGTAAAGAACATTTTTTTTAGTATAATACTGACATTAGCGGTTTTGTTTTTTTTTTTTTAATGTTTAATGAGAGATGCTATTCAGGCTTCTGTTTGGTTTAATGTCCTCCCTAAGATTAGAGCAGACAAATCAAGGTACCATGCACTCACTTCTTGAGAAATATTTTTCTCCAAAAGCGAGCTGCAGGGCCCCCAGGCTTCCCATGTGAAATTGGTATCAGCTGTACAATTACTTTGAAGGTTGCAAACTGTGACTACAGACCCCCGTCCCTGTCTTATTCCAGCCTCTGTAATAGATGCATGTTTGCTCAGGAATGTTTCTTGGACAGAAGTTCATTCCAAGTAATTGTACATATAAATAACAGAGAAAGGGTACGTAGGTGGCTAAGTCGGTTAAGCATCTGACTTCGGCTCAGGTCATGATCTTGAGGTTCGTGAGCTTGAGCCCCATGTTAAGCTCTGTTGACAGCTCGGAGCCCCCGATTCTGTGTCTCCTTCTTTCTCTCTGCCTGTCTCACATCTGTCTCTCTCTCTCTCTCTCTCTCTCAAAAATAAACAGTAAAAAAATTTTAAATAAATAAATAAGAGAGAGAACTGAAAACATTAACTGAAGCTTTGAAGTATATCCGCCCCACCCTCCTTTTATAGGTAAGGAAATGGAGATGAGTCTGATTTGCCTCAGGTCTCAATTACCAACAGGATTCAGGTCCTGGGTGTGGATTCTGGGTCCAGTGTGCCTCTCCTGAGCCAACAGAGACTGGGGTGCAGGCACCCGTGGTCATTGAACAGACACCAGACTCTCGAGGTCATCATTTGGTAGTGACATTCTGACACTCCAGTTCTGTCAACTGGTTCCTTGAACCCTAACTCTTGACCTTACCCTAAACTTGAATCAGCCAATGGCATCTGATGACAGAGATTTCTGGCCATGAAACCCATTCCATTATGCTATGCTTGGGAGTGTGACATCTTTGAGGTGCAGTGAATTTATCGTTCTTTGGAGGCTTTGGGGAGAAAGGGCTGGATATGCAGTTTGCATTTTTAATGGAACCAGGTGGAAAGAGGGCATCCTGAGTGGCAGCCTTCGTGATACAGGTGGACACACACCTGCACCTTCTGAGAACCTTGTAGGTTTTTTTTGTTCTGTCCATCTTTCCACGTTGCCCTTTGCCACAGAGTAACCGTGCCCATGGTTTTACCTGTAGATTTCGAATGAGGCAGGTGAACATCGTTGGCGCCAGTCCCTTCAGCCAGTCCTCCAGGGTCATCCAGACACTGCAGGCACCCCCCGACGTGCCTCCCACCAGCATCACCGTGCGGACTGCCAGCGAGACCAGTCTGCGGCTCCGCTGGGTGGTAAGTTGGGGGCCGGAAATGGGCGCAGGGCCAGAAGAGGCCTATAGGGCCGGAAGTGGGCTGTAGGGACAGAAGTTGGCTGCAGAGCAGGAAGAGGCCTGTAGGGCCAGAAGTGGGCTGTAGGGATGGAAGTTAGCTGTAGGGCTGAAGTGGGCTACAGGACCGGAAATGGGCTGTAGGGCCGGAAGTGGGCTGCAGGGCCGGAAGTGGACTGTAGGGACAGAAGTTGGCTGCAGAGCTGGAAGTTGGCTGCAGGGCCAGTTGTCTCCAGTGTCCAGGGCCTGCACGGGAAGCCAGAGCTTAGTGATGTCTTAGTCATGGCTTTGTCCTAGTCCCAGCTCATCTCTTTGTTAAACCAAAAAGTATGGCATTTTCCCGCTGGGCTTGGGTCACAGATCAGCCTAGGAGATCCCATTAATTAGCATCACTCACTGGCTTCTTGGAACCAAGGAATATTCTTTGGGGGAGGGAAGGCAGGGGTGCCACAGTCTGGACCTGTAAGTCCTTAAGCTAGATCAACATGGAGCCAATACTCAGTGTTTGTAAGAGAGCCAGCCTGATATTTATTCAGAACGTTTCCCCCACAAAATGAAGCCAAGATGTATTAAAAGAAATTATGTTCAGCCAAAGTTACTGATAGGATTTCATTTAATTAATGGAAGAAAAGTTCCGGGGGAAAATCATAGTAAAGGTTCCAAGCACATTCCCCGCAGGAAATATTTTCCAGGGAATTGGCCTCATAAAACAGGCCCAGGCCTGGAGGCCTCGACAGATGGCACTTGTGAGATGCCAGCTCACTACGGGTGTTGTTCGCTTCCAGCCCCTGCCCGATTCCCAGTACAACGGAAACCCCGAGTCCGTGGGCTACAGGATTAAGTACTGGCGCCCCGACCTTCAGCCCCAGGCGCTGGCACAAGTCATCAATGACCGGCTGGAGAGGGAGTTCACCATCGAGGGGCTGGAGGAGTGGACGGAGTACGAACTGCAGATGCAGGCGTTCAACGCCATTGGGGCTGGGCCCTGGAGCGAGGCGGTGCGTGGCCGCACACGTGAGTCAGGTAAGATCGGGGCTCTTCCCACCACATGACTCAGCCACCACCGTGTCTCCCTAGAGGCAGAGCTTCGTGTCCCCCGTCATCGCATCTCATGGGCTCTGTCCCCACCTGTGTCGATGTCGATGCTTTCCTAACCCAGTCATGAGGTCAATGTTGACCGTAACTTAAGTAAAATGTCGAGTCCCTGCCACTAACCTGAAATTAATGATGGATTTCACCAGGGTCTGGACTTGTGGTATTATTTTTGAAATTAAGCACAATTTTCACCATCAGTGATAATAAGCAAGAGTGTATAGAGTTCCTAAGGGAGATCTTTATAGCACAAGGCCCTCAGGACCTCTTCATGACACAGCAGTGTGTGGGGTGTGTTAAGATAGTCTCACCCACACTAACAAAGGGCCCCTCAAAGGTTCGGTTGCTTTAACACAATAGGAGTTCACTTCTCAGTTGCCACTGAGTAGGACAGGTGTTCCTGATCAGAGCGTGGCTCTCTTCAAGGTGATTCAAGGACCCAGGCCCTGCTGTGCTGTAGGACTAAATGTCACCTGTGCCCAGCTACCAGAGGAAGAAGAAAGAGCAAAGAGCGGGCATGCCTGACCCTTAAAACCATTCCAGAAATGGCACACATTCCCCTGCGCAGAGCCACCTGGCTTGGCGCTGTTGCTGGTTGCCAGGGAGGACAGGAAAAGTACTTGGGGTCAATAGTCAGAAGTCTGGGCCGCAGTTTGATAAGGACCAGCATGTTCCCCGAACCTTCTGGGTTTTGCGGGCTGGCCTGTGGTTCGGAGGAACCTCACTAGCCCAGTTTGAGATAACAGAGCCCCAAAAAGGGCTGCTGACCTGGTGAAAGGTGGACAGTGACACAGAGCAGCTCCACCTGGTCTGAAATGGCCAGGTTCTCACCTGAACAGATGGACATGCACGGCCCCTCTTCCAAGAGGACCGATGTGTAAAGCGGGGTTTGCCAGAACAGCCAGGGCTGCCTCAGATGCCTTCCTGGCTTTCTTTTCAGCTGTAGGTTTTATTACGTTCACAATAAAAGATTGAGACTGTATGCTCAGCTTGTGGCTGTCTGATCACATGGATTTTTAAAAAGCCCTATTCAGTATCTGAGTCTTTGTGACAAAGAGGAGGACTTGAAACATTCTAAGGGACTGTTCTAACTCCACTAACAGGCAGACCAAGAAAATATTTAAAAAAAAAAAAAAAAAACACTTCACTGCAACCAACTAGAAAATTATGGACAAAATATAATTTTTTGAGATTTAGGAGTCATTGATGTCCTCATAAGAAAAACAGAGGAAATCCCCACATGTCAGAGACATAAAGGGACAGAAACAGCAGGTGCCAAGATGGCTCAGTGGCTGTCCCCAGGGGGCTGGCATGAGGGGACACCCATCCTGCAGTTTCAAGACTCAGGACATGGTGCCCATCCATGGATAGGAGAATAGGAGATTCAACCACAAGTCTGCACAATGCAGGGAGTTAGAATCAAGACCCTCAGCTACAGACAAGGCTCCTGAATGCTGTACCTTCTTTGAAGCGGGAAAATAAAAATCTCTGCCCAAGGAAATTTGTCCACGTCTACCTGTGTACCTGGACTCTGAATGGGGGAATAAAAAGAGTAACTTTAAGTCCCATGCCCAACTCAGGTTGGGGTTCCATATTTCCACTATCTGGTCCAGAAACTCCTAGAAAAGAAACTAATGTAAAACTTGGTTCCAGACACCAAAAGCACAAGCAACAAGAGAAAAATTTGACTTCATTAATTTTAAAAACTCTGTGGCTCAAAGAATACCATAAAGAGAGCTAAAAAAAGAAAGAAAAAAGAAAGAAAGAAAGAAAACAGTCCCCCAATCATTGAAGATATTTGCAAATCATACATCTGATAAGAAACTTGTACCCATGATGTATATACAAAATCTCTTACAACTCCACATGGAAAGATGACCCAATTAATAACTCTATAAAGGATCCGAATAACCATTGCTTCATAGAAGACATACAAATGGTCAGGTAAGCACATGAAAGGATGTTAGCCAGGGAAATGAAAATCAAAACGACAATGAGATACTAGTTCGCACCCCTAAGGTGGCTAAAATAAAATCTAAAGTCAAGATGAACAATAAAAAGTGTTAAATTGTTAATAAAATAAGTATGGCTCAGCAACAGTACACTTGGTATATCATTGGAAGGCCTTGAGAAGCATCCTCACTGACCAGAAAATCCTCTTACCCTGGGGGAGACAGTGACCCACTCTTCCTGAAATGTTACATATTATACTCCCATCAAGGATTTCTCTGGACTCCAAAAACAAAACATTTTTTTAAAAAGACAAAAAAATGTGCTGTTGAATTCGATTTGCAAGTATCTTGTTGAGGATTTTTGCATCTATATTCATCAAAGATATAGGAGTGCTGATGCATAGGAGCGCACGTACCCCAATGTTCACAGCAGCACTCTCAACAATAGCCAAAACATGGGAAGAGCCTAAGTGTCCAACAACAGACGAATGGATCAAGAAGATGTGGTTTACCTATACAATGGAATACTACACGGCAATGAGAAAGAATGAAATCTGGCCATGTGTAGCAACATGGATGGATCTTGAGGGTGTTATGCTGAGCGAAATAAGTCAGGCAGAGAAGGACAAATACCATATATTTGCACATATAGGAGGATTAGGAGGAACTTAACGGAGGATCCTGGGGGAGAAGAAGTGGGGAAATAGTAGGGGAGAGGGAGGGAGGCAAACCATGAGAGACTCTTGAATGCTGAGAACAAACTGAGGACTGATGGGGGGGTGATGGGCATGGAGGAGGGCACTTATGGGGATGAGCACTGGGTGTTGTATGGAAACCAACTTGACAATAAACTATTTTTAAAAAATTAAAATAAATAAAAAAGACAAAAAATGAAAAAAGAAAAAGAAACAAAGAAACCTGGTCCTGGACCAGACTTTCTCGGCAGCCAAAGAAGGAAACATCTTTGGAGAAATACTGGCACAGCCAAATTGTCCCAAATAAAAAACTTTTAAAAGATGAAAAAGATGAATTCAATTTTTGCCAAACACACAAGGAAATACTCTGTCATCTCTGTCATGTGTAAGAATGAGATCTTATTAAGGAAGGAAGGACGGAGAGAAGGAAGGAGGGAAGGAAACAGGACCTGATTGCTTTAAAATACATACTAGTATGAAAGAGAATATGTAATAAGTATGTTTAAAATTACTGAAGACTTACAGTTGCAAGACGAATAAGTTCTAAGTAATCTTATTACAGCACAGTGATTAATAGTTAAAAATACTACTTGAAAGTTGCTAAGAGGGGCGCCTGGGCAGCTCAGTTGGTTGAGTGTCCGACTTTGGCTCAGGTCATGCCTGGCTCGTGGGTTTGGGCCCCACATTGGGTGCTTGTTGCTGTCCGCACAGAGCCTGCTTCAGATCCTCTGTCTCCCTCTCTCTGCCCCTCCCCAACTTGCGTGTGCACACACACTCTCTCTCAAAAATAAATCAACATTAAAAAAATGTTTTTAAACAAAAAAAGAAAGTTCCTAAGAGAATATACCTTAAATGTTGTCACCTCCGAAAAGGAACAATAATTTTGTGACTAATGGAGGTGTTAGCTAATGTTATGGTAGTAATCTCTCTGCAATACATAAGTATCACAAATCACCATGTCGCACCCATTAATCTTATACAATGTTGTGTATCAATTATATCCCAATAAAGGTGGAATAAATATTAAAGCCTTAAACTATGAAAAGAAAGCATTAAAACTTTAAAGATAGAATACCATTTTTAAAGCATCTTTTAAGAAAGTAGGACACAGCCACTGAAAATGAAACACTACAATTGAGGTGAAAAGCAGTTTAGACACTGCTAAAGAGAGAATTACCAAACTGAAAGCTAGATATGAGTACAGAACTTAAAATACAGCACAGAGACACAGCAATTGAAAACATGATAGGTTAAAAGACATAAAGAATAGAATGAGAATGTCTGACATATATCTACCAAGATTCAAGAGGGAAGGAGATGAGAGTGAAGAAATATGTGAAGATAATGGCTGAGGAGGTTCAGAACTGATATTTTATCAGACTGAAGAAATATGAATCCTGACCAGAATAAGTAAAATGTATCCACACCAAAAGGCATTGTGCTGCAACTGTAAAGCACAAAAGCCAAAGGGAAAATTTTAAAAACACCTGGAGTGAAGGCATCTTACCTACAGAAGGAAAGACAATTTGACGCTGACTCCTCAAGGACAGTGGAGGCCAGAAGACAATGGAATCATGGAATCCTAATAATCCTGAAGGAGCTAAGAGAAAGAAAGTCATTTAACCTCAAGTTTTGCACTCAGCTAAATTACTTTTCAAGGATTCTGTTCAGCAGACTACAAATGATACGTGAGGATGAATAAAATGTAGTAAAAATGGAAAATAATATTGTTTTGTTACATTTCCAAAGAACATTCAAAAAACCAAAGTGAACCAATGATAAAATTGCTGAAGTGAGATTATGTTTTTGTAAAAATCTGTTGAGCTGCTGCAAAGCTACCTTCACAACAGTCAGGAGACTGCCAAGGATGCCCCGCTATGAGTAACCTCCCTCCAGATGTTTCCCTATAGCTCTGCCATCTTTAGGCCATCTTGTGTCAACTCCTGTCCGTAACTCAGAGTAGACTTTCTTTTTTTTTTTTTTAATGTTTTATTTATTTCTAGGAGAGAGAGAGACAGCATGAGCAGGGGAGGGTCAGAGAGAGAGGGAGTGACAGACTCTGAAACAGGCTCCAGGCTCTGAGCTGGCAGTCAGCACAGAGCCCGACGCGGGGCTTGAACCCACGAACCGCGAGATCATGACCTAAGCTAAAGTCGGACGCTTAACCGACTAAGCCACCCAGGCGCCCCTCGGAGTCGACTTTCTTGAGCGATGTTGATTGTTTTTGTAGGGATTTGATTGTTTCCGTTAATGTCAGGGTACAGATTTTGTATCAAAGAAAGGCATAACAGATTTGTTTTTGTCTTGGTTGGCAAAAACCAACAACAAATGTGTGGACGTACAGCTAATGCAGAATAGCAGGTAACCCCCAGAACCTACTGGATCAAATTCAGTATTGCCATGTTCATCATCCGCTTGTTGAGAAAGTTTTTGATCTATAGTAAGAATTGTTCTTGCAACCTAAGCTTTGCTTTATGCTAACACATTCTTTCTTCTTTTGAGGGTTCTGGCTTACAGAAAAGTATTTGTTAGTTTTTAAGGGGGTGTTTGTTCAGTTAGAAGAATTTTGGTTCAGAAAGTGCCTTTGTCACAAATTAGATTAGTAGAGTTTTTGATATTCATTTCAAGATGTGATAATTCAGACTTTAGACATTCTTTTTAAATTTTTTTAATGTTTATTTTTTGAGAGAGAAACAGAGAGCAAGCAGGGGAAGGACAGACAGAGGCAGAGAATCCAAAGCAGGCTCCAGGCTTTGAGCTGCCAGCACAGAACCTGATGCAGGGCTCAAACCCACAAATCATGAGATCATGACCTGAGCCAAAGTTGGACGCTTCACCGACTGAGCCACCCAGGCACCCCTAGACCTCAGACATTCTTAACACTGGAAGAGTGGGACCCTCAGGACCCCTGTTGGGCTGATCTCTCCCACAAGAGTACTGGTGCTCAGTTATGGGTCCTCCCATCCCTGGGGATTCTCTGGTGCCCCTTCCAATGCTGCTGGATCTTTGGGGCTTTGACACCTCCACCTCTGAATGACGCTTCCAGAACTTCCTGCTGGAGGCCTCCCCTCACCTCTGACAGGCAGCACCCCCACTCACCCCCCGTTGCAGCATTTTGATGTCTTGCCTTCCCCGGTCCTGATGAATTTGAACACGTGCCCTCCCCAACAGAGAAATCCACCCCTTCCGAGAACAGACCCTGCCGGGCACCGCTCAGCCCGTGGGGTTGGGTAAGAGGGGGTGCAAGGGGTGAAAAGCCCGGTGGTGGAGTGCAGCTTATGGGCAGGGAGGAAGCAGAGAGAGCTGAGGAGTAAACTGCCTCCTGATGGACCCGTGCCTCCTGAAGATGGCCACACGTGGGCACTTACAGGGCGGCCACAGGCGTACTGAGAGCCGGCATGGGAAGCATGAAGAACATTTCGAACCACATTTAAATAATGTTTCTGATTTTGAAGTATGATCTGACTGGTTTCATGACATCTTATGATTTATTATGATGTATTATAAGGATAAATGAGGCCCTTTTATAAGGATAAAAGAATCAAAAGACTGAACAGTGAGCCATCCTGTAGAGGAGAGAGAGCAAATGAAGAAGAGAAGCATGTTAATCGGGATTGTTTTTAATGAAAAAGAACTCCTAGGACTGTCCCAAAACTTAAGATGCCAGGTTGGAAAGGGAGTTGAATCTGCCTCAAAATAGATAACAGGTGAGATTTGTTATTTATGTATTTTTACCAAATTTAAAATACTCAGATACTTTATAACTGAACAGCTGATTGGATCGTGGAAGGATGTGGATCTGCTGAAACTGTGATCCCGAATGCTGCCATGACCTCGCTGGAGGATGCTAGATCTGCCTTTTCCTTCTGAATAAAGTCTAAATGGCTTCACAAGAAAATTATCGAAGCACACTGAGATTATTGAGACTATAAAGACTTGCCCTTTAAAGTTTGATGGTTGTCTTGATAAACATTCTCCCTGAACCACTGCAAACATATAGGCCAAAATTCGTTCAGTGATGGGGCGCCTGGGGGCTCAGTCAGTAGAGCGTCCGACTCTTGGTTTCAGCTCAGGTCATGTTCCCAGAGTCATGGGATCGAGCCCCGTGTTGGGCTCTATGCTGAGCCTGCTTGGGATTCTCTCTCCCTCTCCCTCCCTCCTTCTCTCTCTCTCTCTCTCTCTCTCTCTCCCTCCCTCCCTCCACCTCTACCCCTGCCCTGTTGCATGAGCACACTCCCCCCTCCCCAAATATTAATAAATAAATAAATAGAATTAGTTTGGTGACATATATAAACAGGGGAGAGTAAAACTTTATCTCACAGGTACATGGGTTAAGACTTGCCTCCAAAGTCCCATCCCTTTGTAAAAAGCACTCACTTTAAATGGAATGGATGGCATGCTGTCCAGCCTTGGTTTCCCCACCCACAGAAGGGGGCCAAGAACCCCTGCCTCGCTGGGTTCTTGCAGCTTCTAGATGTAAGTGTGAATCCGAAGACCCTGTAGCATAGGATGCGCACTGAGCACGTAGGCGACCTTCCCTCCCCTCCCCGTCGTGTGGATGGTCATGTCACCTGCTGTCCCCAGCACCCCCGTCACCTTCACAAAATACCACTCTTGGAGGTGTCACTGAACCGGTGTCTGAAGTGAGGATTTCCCCCTGGAGACAAAAGCCTGTAGCTCTCACGAGTTAATATGAAAACGGCCCGAGCATATTGTCTTGCTGGATGGATTCTGGTAAAATTGAGCCCCTAAATACCCAGGATTTGTGGAATTTGTTGCTAATATTAAAGAGATTTACATTTCTGTTATATCTCTGCAGACCTAATCTGATCACTCCAAAATGCTTAGAACTCATTGCTCTTTCAAGGACAACTTGATTGTTTGGGTAAAAGGTGGGACTTTATTTCTAGAAGCCTTTAGATTTTCACTCCCAATCTCTTTACCTCATCCCTGGCAGTTCCTTCAGCTGCGCCTGAAAACGTGTCCGCTGAGGCTGTCAGCTCCACCCAGATTTTGCTGACCTGGGCCTCGGTACCAGAACAGGACCAGAATGGGCTCATCCTGGGCTACAAGGTGACCGTCCTTGGCGTGGCACTCCCCTGAACCAGTGAGCTTGTATTTCTTCCACATGGACTGCACCGGCCAGTTTTGTGATGTCCATGCCCGTTGTCTTATCTAAACTTCATCACCATCTAGGGATTAGGCGTGGCTGTAACCTCTTAACATAGACTCAGTCGAGGCACACGCGGTAGCCACCTCCTTAACCTAGACCCTCTGCTTTCTGGTTTGTAAAATGGGAGTCGCTATGGCAGCTGCCTCTGAGGGTTGGTATGGGATGGAGGGGTACTTTGTAGGTGTGAGTGTCAGGTCCCTGTTCTTAGCCATGTGCGTGCGTGCCTGCGCACCATAGCCAGGGCGGCCCTGGGTAGTGGCACCGGCGGGAGGGGCTGACTGCCTTAAAGCCTCTCCCGGAGCCCCTGCGGGTTCAGTCCTGCACACCATCCCCAGGCAGCAGGAGGAATCCTCCTGGCCGTGGCCGGCTGCTGACTCCCTGCCTGTCACCTCCAGGCGTTCCAGGATTTCAATCCCTAGTCTCTGTCTTTCCCCACCTGCTCTCAAGGCTCCCTTCCCGGCCATTCTAATTGCTCCCTCAGGTGCCACAGGACGTGGCAATCCCCCAGCTGGGCTCAGTGACCCAAACTCCACACCACATACCTGGGTTCTGGAGAAAAGAGTTTTCTGTCCGGTGTTCACTCTGCTCTCTGGGCACCCTGTCTTCCACGGTCCTCTGGGGCACTCAGGGGCCAGTTCCAGAAGGGTGGGCTATGCGGAAGGACTTAGGGAATGGGCAGGAGCAGGCAGGGCTGTGGAGGGGAGCGTCCCAGGGTGCTGTGTGGGGGGGGGGGTGGCAGCACCTAGGCCGGGGGACCTGAGGCCTGGGGTACAGGTAGATTACAGCCACTGTCCTGAGGCAGGAGCCCAGTTTCCCAATAAGCTGGGAAACAGGGTGGGGTACAGGCTCCCAGGAAAAAGTAGAATGTCTGTGCACTCGGGACCAAGTCCTCATCTTAGTGGCTGTGGCTGCCACCGTGAGCCTCAGATCTCACATAGTGTATTTCGGGGACCGGTGGCCCCCACAGAACACCTGCATGTGGGAGCCTGACCCGCAAGGCTAAATGCGGCTGCCCCCGGGGGGGGGGGGTTGAGCAACGGGGAGTCCCGGGGCCCCTGAGACCCCTTCCTGGCCCGGCGTGCCCTCACGACCGTGCACTTGTGTGCTGATGCTCCAGGTCCTGTTCCGGGCCAAAGACCTGGACCCCGAGCCCCGAAGCCACGTCGTGCGCGGGAACCACACACAGTCAGCGCTGCTGGCGGGTCTCCGGAAGTTCGTGCTGTACGAGCTCCAGGTGCTGGCGTTCACCCGCATCGGGAACGGGGTCCCCAGCTCCCCACTCATCCTGGAGCGGACCAAGGATGACGGTACGATCGCCGGGTGCTCCCACAGCCCAAACAGTGTGGATGCCGGTCATTCCCAACTTAATTTTCAGACCCTCCCCCCCTTTATTTTCCTTGCCTTTTTTTCAGTTGAGGAAAACAAAACAGAATTGTTTTTCAGTCACCATTTATATGGCCAATTTCAGACTGGAGTGAATTTTTACAACCTAATTATGAAGCTGTGTGGATTTGAGTCGTAACTCGGCAGTAGGCAGTACAGTAAAGCTGGGTGGGCTGGGGCCGTAAAACCCACGGCAGCTCCCCTGGGTGCTGGGTCTGCACAAATCTGGGGCAGGACCTGTGCCCAGCCTGGGCGCCCCCACCTGTGGGGCTTCACAGGCTCCCCAGGGGGCATTGGGGGTGGAAGGGGAGCTGCACCCCTGCCTTCAGGCGAGAACAGCAAGTGCTTCTTGACAGCTCTGTTTTTATGGAAGTCTAAATCATCAGTAAATATGGTTTTCCACTTTGCAGATGTCAAACACTTAAAGGTTATCTATTTTACATTTTTATTGTTAAGCTGACTGTGGCGAATGTTCAGAGGGGGTGTATTCTGGGAAAAAAATCCCGATCTCCCTCCGCACCAAAACCCACCTTAGGGAGCAGAAGTTTCTCATGGAATTGTACCAACTGTAGTTTTCTTACGTGTGTCAGCTGAAGCAGCATTCGCGTAGTTATGAGTTGGTCCTGGCTGTGTTTATTTTGCCAAATCTAGGTTTATTTTTATTTTTTAGATATTTTTAAGCTTATTTATTTATTTTGAGAGAGAGAATGCGCAAACCGAGGAGGGGCAGAGACAGAGAGAGAATCCCAAGCAGCCTCTGTGCTGTCAGCATAGGGCCCAATGTGGGGCTCAACCCACAAACTGTGAGATCATGACCTGAGCCGAAATCAAGAGTTGGATTCTTAACAGACTGAGCCACCCAGGTGTCTCCAAACACAGGTTTATTTAAACACAGGTTCAGAGGCATCTGGGTGGCTCATTCTGGTTAAGCGTCCAACTTCGGCTCAGGTTATAATCTCACAGTTCACAAGTTTGAGCCCCATGTTGGGCTCTGTGCTGACAGCTCAGGGCCTGGAGCCTGCTGCAGATTCTGTCTCCCTCTCTTTCTGCCCCTTCCCTGCTCATGCTCATGCTCTGTCTCTCTCTTTCTCTCTCAAAAATAAACATTAAAAAAAAATTTTAATAAGAAAAATTTTTGAACACAGTTTTAAAATTTTAAATGTTCTTCGCAGCTTCTTAGCCAGAGGCAGAATCCCACCCCACGAAGACCGTAACACATATCATCTGACTTTTATATAGAGAGTTCTCTATATAAAAGGCCCTCGGCCTCCTCCCTGGGAATCAGTTAAGTTCCAACCAGAAGTTCTGGTATTGGCCACACACTTCCTCGCCTCTCCGTTTAAGTAAATACATTTTATGAGGGCTATGACCCTGTTATTCAGTGGCCCTGCAGTCACTGGTGCACCGAAGAATTACATGCATTTGTACGCATCCACTCGTCATTTTCTAGGACAGTGCAGGAGTGGGTGGAGTGCAGAAGAGAAAAATCATGATTGTCTACATGTTACTTTGTCAGTTGGGAGGGACTTGAGGCCATCCGGTTTATCTAACACCTGCTAGTGGATGTCAAGCCCCAGACCGGATTCAGGCCAGGTTGGCAAAATCTTGACCCTCTGCTTGACCTGCCAGTAGCTTCGCACAACTTACACCCAGGGGACACTGAGCACGGTTTGCAAACGCTACTTCCAGAACTTGGAAAGCAGATGAGCTGGATTCAAAATGAGGTGTTTTTCTCCAAATCTTAGGGCACCACTCAGAGAGAGCTAGATTGCCAAAGTCACTCACAGACTTGGAGCGTCCCGTCCGTGAGCAGAGTCTCCATGCCAGCCCCCAGAGTCCCACGCAACCTCGCCATCGACCCACGTAACACCTTAGCGGTCCCTGGCTCATGGGCCTCCTTTGTTTCCTGCAGCCCCAGGCCCGCCCGTGAGGCTCGTGTTTCCTGAAGTGAGACTCACATCTGTGCGGATCGTGTGGCAGCCACCGGAGGAGCCCAATGGCATCATTCTGGGTAAGGGAGCTGCCGCGATCCTCCAGATCATAGCTCAGAGGGGAAGGGCCAGTGCTTGATTCCATCTGTTTTTATTGCACGTCAGAGAGGTTGGGGGAAGAAAAAAGCAAAGTCATGCCCCCTGCAGCCGAGCGTTTTCTGTGCTGAGACATGTGGGTCCCCGTGCCGATCTGCGAGCTGGGTGCCGAGGTTTCCCTGCAGATGGAAATCTACATGTTGTTAACCCAGACTCTTTTCCATTTGTTCACGGTTCACACAGTACCATCTGTAATGGGCCCTTTCCTTCAACTCTGAAATCACGAGGCTGTTTCCATGTGTTTGCAAAACAGCAAGATCGGTTTTCATGGGAGCTGGAGGCCTGGCTTTGCTCCCATGTCCCAGGAAACGTCCCCTGCTACGGAGCCTGCACCTCATCCTTTTAAGAAGTTTCCAGAGTGTATTGTGTGTGCCCTGGGTCCCCGGAAAGTTGTTTCCTTGTAACTTTTCATTCAGTGGGGCAACTCAGATAGCATTGATAAAAAGCCTTAATTTTTCCTAGTTCCCCAAAGGCGGCAAGTTTTATTTTTCAAAAATCATCAGTCCCTTTATTTATACACGCCCTCGCCAGGACAAATTAAGGGCCTCCTGTATGCCCAGCGTCATGTGCATGGTGGGCAGTAAGGAGTGCATGCGACCCACCCACCCTTAAGATGCCAGGTACCCAGAGCAGCACCAGGGAGGGGCCCAGGTGCAGTGACCGTAATAGATGATGTGACAGAGATTGGAGGAAAGCCCCACTAGTACGGCTTCCCGGGGCGAGGGGTCTCGGTGGACCAAAGGCCACTCTGGAGCTGGATCTTACAGACAAGCCGCTTCTGGAGCCCTGGAGGAAGGGAAGAGGGGCGTCTGATGGGCCAGACAGGATGCCGTGTGCCTGTGAGAGTGCAGACAGACCCAGGCCTGGGGATGGGGGCCAGGCTGGGGACTGCTGGCCATGGCCAGCCGCACCATGCAGGGGGCACCCCTTGGCCTTGATGCATGAAATCAGGCATCAAAAGGCACAGTATGTTCTCCAGACCTGGGCCAGCCCTCTGACAGGCTGTGTCCCTAATCCCAACATGTGGCAGACCCCCAAATGTGTCAGCTTGTGTGCTAGGTGGTCAGATCATAAACCTATGACATTACAGACGGGTAGTACCTTGGTCATCTGCACAAAGGCCGTGGCCCTCCTCAGTCTCACTCCACCTTGTGTGGTGCCTGGAGCCGCGCTATGGGGCATTTTGCTGTGAGCACGCTGTCTCTGGATTGGGGGACCTTGGGAACCACAGGTTCTTGCTACTCAAGTCACAGTGCGCAGACGAAGAATCCCCGGTCGAAGTGTGTATTTCAGATCCTGTCCAGACGAGACAGGATCTCAGCCTCTTGTTGGGCCCAGCGCCCGAGCTCCAGACCTGGGGTGGGGGCTGGTCTGTGGAGCAGATGGCTATGGCAAAGGCTTTCTGGAGCCCTCACTGCAGCGCCCAGGCTGCTGCCCCTTCCGGAGGGAGCAAGGCTTCATATCCAGTCACCCAGGGGACTTCCCCAGCCTGCTGTGAGACAGGAAACATGTCTGGAGCACAAGGTGTGAATTCCGACCTGTCACGTTGCTCAGAGTCTCCCCTCTGCTGGGGGAGGGAGGCCCCACCCACCCAGCCCTGGGCCTGGCAGCCCCCTTGGCCTCTGCCCGTGCTCTGAGCCCATGGCTGGTGCTAATTTGATGGCACTCGCCACAGCCATCCTGGGTTGGTAAGAATCATTCTGACAGGAGAGCTCCCTGGGAGCTGGAGGGGAGGCAAGAAAACGTGTCACTTGTGTTCCTCTCAGTGCAGACAGATGCGCGCTCTCTGATTTTGTAGCCATGGCTCTGAACTACTCAGCCAAGCTCCTGCTGGGGAGGTTCTGGCCTCCGCCAGCACCAGCGCACTGTGTCTCCAGGTCCTCTGCCAGGGAAGACCCCTGGCCCTTCTCTGCCTTTACTGTCACGTTCGATGTCACCTGTACCTGCGTGCTCTCTCCACACCCGTCCCTGCCTTCCTGCACCAACCATTATCCCAGGAGTCTCACCGGCCAACAGTAAAATCTTGTCACTTATTTTTAAAGGTCTCTCTAACATCTGTTCCTCTGACTGAAAAAGCACTTGGAAAGGGAGAATTCAGACCACGATAGAATAGCACTTTACCTTATTCAGACTGAGAGCCATAGGAAATGTGGCAACACCCAGACGATGTGGGGTGTGGGGAAACAAGCACCCTCGTGCCCTTGTTAGGGGTGTGAACAGGCACAGGCTCTCTGGAGAAGGATCTGGTAACCTCTTAGCGAGGTGAACACGTCTGCGCCCTACCTCCTGGGAGCCCGTCACATCTTAAACCCTGGAGGGCGTCTCACACCTGGACCCAAGGAAAACCAGCTGAGGACACACCTGGCTTTGAATATCACTTTAAATCACAGGAGAAACCAGAACCGGAGACCCGAGTGTCCATCAGTAAGGCCACAGAAAGGTGTATTGTGGGCCATCCGCACAGCAGAAAGCACAGTAACGGTGAAAATGATGAACAAAACTATACAAGTCAACACAAGTGAGTGTCACAAACATCATGCAGGGAAAAGACAAGTTGCAGAAGGATTCATGCAGCCTGACAATGTTCGTGTACCTTTAAAAATGCTGTAAACGTTACTGTCCACCATTCACGGGTGCACACGTACAGGAACGTGTGGACACATGGGCAGGGACACACCCTGAGCTGAGGGGGGGTTACACTGAGGAAGAGGATCCAGAAGGGCCACCGGATGACTTCAACTCTTTCTGTCCCATCTCCTCTCTTATATGAAAACAAAACAAACAAAAATAGTCCAATTTGTCAAGAATCTCCATGTTTGTCCAGTGGATGTGATGAATATATGGGTGTCTATTCTCTAGCATTCCCAGTATGTTCTGTACGGTTGAAATATTCATGATAAAAAAGGACAATTAGAAAACCAAAAAAAAAAAAAAATGGCACATTCACTATAAGCTTTTTTTAAAAAACAGAGAATTCAAAAAAGGAACAGGAAGAAAAAGAGAATTGCCAGTTCCACTGCCCAGAAATAATGTTAGTATTTTTTTCTTCTAATCACTATTCTAATATTTTTATTGTGAAATAGTTCATGCTTACACAGGAGCCTCTTTGTTCTAGCGTGGTTAAGTCACGACGACAGAATCACACACGCGTCCCCGCCACCTGGTCTCGGGTGGCGAGCCCACCGGGCCCCTGTGGGATTCTGTGGTTATCTCCTCGGTAGTTTCCCCCCGTGATTTCTCCAGAGTTGAACTTAAGCCTAAAAATCTAATACTAGTGCTGTGTGTTTTTAGATTTCATAGAAACTCCTATGACCTGTTTTTCTGCAGCCTTGCTCTCTTCTTCCCACGTCATGAATACAGTGGCTGTCCCCGTGTGCACACAACAGCTCGCGCGGCCGTCCCCCCAACCCGGGACGATCGCGGTGTCCCCAGCACCTCTACAACACACACGCCTGGCGCTCCCCTCCGGGTACGAGTTCGGGAGGGTTCCCCGGGCACACCTTCAGGAACGGCCTCATTGGGCCACAGAATTTGCACATTCCCAGCTCTGCACAGTGACACCAGCGGCGCCAAACCATTCTCACAGGTGGTGACACTACTTTGTCCTTCCAGCAGCACATGTAAGTACCCCCACCACTTGTCACACCCGTGCCACACTCGATAGGCTCAGAATCTGAGGTTTTTCCCCTTCTGGAAGGCCTTAAGTGGTGTCTCATTGTGATTTTATGTTGGATTTCCCCAATGGCTCCCCCAGCGCCAGATGCGTGAGCCCATCCTTGCTGGTCTGTGGGCTTCTCCTATTTCCTTTTCAGTCTCTGTCATTTCTCCTTCTCGCTTGCCGGGTCAGCCGTTCACTTAGAAGGTTTTCTTCTCTTGATGTCATGTATATTTGAATGTCCTCACTGGAAGGTTTTCAGGACATCTGGTCAACCACACTGCCGAAGGCAGCCCTCTCTCCAGTACTGGTGGGAGGTCCATGGCGAGAACATGCTTACTCAGATATCGGAACATTTAAATGCAGATACAATAAATACAGTGGAATTGAAGATTTTTAAAATACAGATCATCTCCCAAATTGTGCTGTCATAAGTAATAGGTGCAGCTCACCTCTTTAGAGGTGAATTTTCACAGCATTTCTGATGATCTCCCAGGGTATGGGCCTAGAGGCAGAATGACTGGGAGAAGGTGCTAGAACATTTCTAAGGCTCTTCACCTATACTTCACACTCTCCATCCAGAATCGCTGTTCATCAGCACTCCTGCCAGGAGCACCCATGTCATTCCACCCTCATCAATGTCGACATTAATGTCTTGGCCACTTTAATAGCTAACATATAATATTTATATGGGGGTCATTTTCAAAGTTTATTAGCTATCAGGGTTTGGTGGGTTTTTTTATTCCTTTTGGCAATTCCCAGCTTCTGTTCTACTAGTTTGCTGGGGCTCCCATCAAGAGCCACAGAACAACAAAAATCCATTTTCCATCAACTCTGGAGGCTGAACGTGAGAGACCCCAGTGGGAGCAGGGCTGCTGGGTCCTGGGGCCTCTGTCCTGGGCATGCAGACAGCATCTCCTCCCTGTGTCCTCTCCTGGTCACCCCCCTGACCCCTTCTTGTAAGGGCACCCATCACTCCAGATTAGGACCCACCCTAGTGATCTCATTTTACCTTAATCCTCTCTTTAAAGACCCTGTCCTCAAAAATTAAAATAAAATAAAATAAAAATTAAGACCCTGTCCTCAAATACAGTCACATTGGAAGTGCTTGGGTTAGAACGGTAACCTCAGAATTTGGGGGAGGGGGTGCAGTTCAGCCCTTAACACACCCTTCGTCCATTTTTCTCTTGGGGATTAACCCTCCTGTCACTGGCTTTTCCATGCCTTACACGTTGGTGGCATCTAAGGAACAAGTGGCCACCGAGAGCC